TAGTTTCCCACTGCTGTTCTGGAGGTAAAGAGGGGAAATTTGGGAAACACTTGGCAACAAAATTTTGAATTTGAAAATAGCGAAACAAATGGGTGATAGGGAGATTATAACGAGAAGACAAGTTGGGAAAACTATCGAAAACACCATCCACATATAAATGTTTGAACTGTTTTAGGGTTATGTTTTTTTTTTTTAATGTAATTTAAGGCAGGTCCTTTTAAGCAGAGCCGTTCAATCTAACCAACCTCTGCAGAGAAACTGTGTGTGCACGTGTCTAGTGTTATGGCTCGATCGATACGGGACTCATTAAATAAAGAAAGGCTAATGTAAGCCATCACTCTGAGCTGTCCATCTCTCTGTCCCCGACCCCTGACTCGCTTTTCATTTTGTGCCGCTCCGCTCATGTTAATCTCCTCCTGAGTCTTTTCATCTCTACCCATCCCATCAATCCTGGGACTCTTGTCTTTTGTGTTCCTACTTTCCCGTCTATGTCTGCCTTTATTTCTTCCTCATCTCTTTGTCACCCTCCAGTTTCACATTGTTCTGCTTCCCTATGCAAGAAACAATAATTAGAAGTGTGAGGAAAGAGAGACGGCTGCAGAACTTGAGTGATATAAAGCCGCACAAACCAGTGCAGGCAGCTATCAAGCTGCATGTTTAATGCAATAGTTTGTAATCTTGCTGAGTCAGCAGAAAGTAGGTGAGCCCACGGTGCTGTGAGGCACAAGTTACCACTGTGATGATGACAAATTAACTCTGTGATTTATTTAAAAGTGCCCTGTTGAGTTTTTATTGCAAGCAAACATGTCATTCATTGTTTCCCATCAAAAAGCAACCAGTTCTCTGGCTGGACATGATAAATGTTAGAAAGATTTTTTCAGCTTTTATTCATGCAGGGCGTCTTCATCGAGCACGTTACAGAGTCCAGCTGCCTGCGTGCTGAAGAGTATAAAGCTCATGCAAATCTCATCTCTTTCCTTTGATTATTATGTGTTTTCTCATATAAAGGATGCGATAACTAAACAAGAAACATGCAGTGAGG